ACTAATCTACAGTGGAATCTCAATATTATGAGACCTGACCTGGTGACAAGTATAATTAATTTTCCGGCATGACAAGAGATATCTGGCCCCTTGAATTCTGCATCTGCACAACTTCTCTCGAAATATAACGAATCCCGTATATAACGAATACTCGTATATTAATGACCCTAATTGTAGTCCCTTCATCATAATTTTCCTCAATATGACAAACTTTTCCAAAACTTTTCACCGTTATTCTGGTCTACTTATTCCCGGTGTACTTATCACTATACATACATACAAAACATACATTGGCAAACATGCACTTTTAATGATGCAAAAAAAGGGGAAGAGATTTGTGCGAACGTTTGCACCTTTTCAAGGCTTAATGGCATTTCATTGAACAAATTCAAACACAGAAGACTATAACAGACATTTTTGTCCCCAAATTTTTAGAGGAACATTTAGTGTTTTGAACAAGATTTTCATTTTTGATCACTATTTTAGCGAAAGCAGCCAATTATGCGATAAAAATTGGCCGATTTGCCAATGATGCGATAAAAAATAGCAGATTATTTGCGGATTTCACTACCCCCTACAGCCCCCTCTTTAGACATCCTTATGCTTTAAATCTAGATTTAGTGAAATTTGGTTTAATGAAAAATGGGTCATCATTATCTTTTATGCATCTGGCCAGTGAGGTTCATAAAATAGCTGTTATGCTTGATAACAGAGGGCCCTCGGGGCACGGATTTACCTGCAAAAATGGCCATTACAACCAGATGAACGCCACAGCATCAATGACTCTACAGGCCCGTCGGAACCGGGGGGCTGGGGGGTAGGACCCCCCAATAATTGTCAAACTGTGGTATGTTTCCTTTATAACAGTTTACTGAATGAGAAGGGAAACAATGGGCAGCCCCCTAATATCAATTTCGTTCCCACGGATGAAACCTGCTTACGACATGGCAAACATATTTCTGTACTTGTAGTGCCGTTTTTTGTTGATATATATATTGAATAAGCTCAGTTTGTACTTGTTTAGAAAATTGCTCAGTTGCTATAATGTAGGTAGTCATGGTAAGAATTCAGCCAAGTAAGTTTCATCAAATTATTGCTATCATCATTTTCATGTTGGCAATTTCTCCGTAGAACTATCATAATTACCAAAAAGTTTTGTGAAGAAATGTCACACGCCATCACATGCCTGGATATTTTCAGGGGTGCGTTGGTTAGCAAGCCTGGTACATATTTTTCCCACAAAAGCCTGTCAACGCTGTCAAAATCTGTAATTTTTAACACAAAATGAAAATAATTATTACGGAAACTTGTATCATAATGGAGTTTTAATTCTGTTATGGATAATGACCTTATGGATAAATTTTAGTTCTGCTGTTTTTTGCCTTTCCCTAACTGCAATTTATACATGTAACTAGTTGTATACTTTACTTCAGAGTGTCTGTTAGGGTTATTGAAATATTGTCAAATTCTAAAAATGAACATACTATTAGCCTTAAGTTGAACTAATAAGAACCACAACATGTGATACATCAGAAGCAGCTTGCCAATTTCTGCTACAAAAGCTAGACAAACACCCATAAAGGCCAGTATATGTATATACCTGTTACCACCAGTGGCTCTTAATTTGATGTGGAGGGCAGTAATGCCAATTTCTTGACATCTAGCAGCAACATCCTGAGCAGCCAACATTGCAGCATATGGTGATGACTCGTCTCTGTCTGCCTTGACTTTCATGCCACCAGTAACACGGGCAATAGTTTCCCTAACACCAAAAAGCGTGAAACTATCGTCTTTGTGCAGGAATAAGGGCAAATCCTTTAAACATGTATATATACCTTCTTAAAGAAAATATGCGCGAGTGACTGATCCAGCGCTAGACCTGAACTCAAGACAAGTGACCCTGTAAGTTGTTGCCCTAAAAACTGAACAGGCTAACATTTCCCCTCAGTAAACTCTCAATTCATGACAGATTTTCACTAGAATCCAATTAATTATTCACTTAATTATATAGTTGATATTTTTATCTAGTCCAGAAACGTCAACATTTCACAATAAATTTAATGAGACAAGAAATAATCTCAAACAACTTGTTTATGCATGCCAAAAAATTCATTTAAAAATACACACCTGCCAGACAAGTCTGTTACATGCACAAATGTGTCATTGAAGGAGGCAAAAATGTGAGCAACTCCAAATATTTGTTCTCCAGCAGCAGCCTAAAAATATAAACAGCTCACCATTGCATCAAGCTTGTTTTTACATGGATTTTAATAAAAAATGAGTTTTATTAAACAAGATGTGGTGATTGTTCATGTTTCACATCATACTATGACTCTCAACCTTTGCTCCCAGATTATTGCCTTAAAGAATGTTTCCAAATCCTTCTAAAAATTGCTTATTATTTACAATTTGACCAAGAGGGTTGCAGCTTCCAAACCCAAAATCTTGATTATTATAATGATGTTTTTAAAAGATTGATCAATGATTCCTTTGCATTTTGTGACGTGAACATTCATTGATGGCTTTGGAATCTATTTGCAAACTACGTTTGAACCTTATACACTCATTTCTTTTTATAAGAAACATAGGTCGATGTTGAGTACTCCAGTTTCTTAATGTTCTGGAAATTTCAATACTCGTTGTCTCTTAAGAGTTTCTTAATTATGATGTCGTGAATGATGTTATGAAATGTTTGTGACCTTTTTTATCACTTCA